TGTCACAATGAATCCCCTCTGTACAAAGAATATATCCTAATTTTAAAAATGATTAAATGTGAAAGCAAACTGTTCCCACTCTTTCACAAAGCTCAAGTCCATGTCTTCCTCTACACACACTGCATTTGCCTAAGTGTAAATGACTCTAAGAGAAGGGTTCTAGTTTCCTGATGGGTGATATAGGAATTAGGCAGGGAGTTAGGGAACGGACAGCTGAGAACAATGGTTTGCGTGTTGATAAGGAATTACATTCTGGACTGCTGATGTCAAGGATGACTTGTGAAATTCAGCAGGGTCTTGCTGACCCACAGCCCATAGAAAATGACCTACCCAGTTGATCATCCAAAACCAAGAACTCCCCCACCAGACATGTGGGAGGAGTAGATGACATATAACCCAGTTTTCTAGGACTAACCAGCCCTGTATCTGCAGACCCCAATAAAATCTTGAGCTCTTGGGACCTCCAGTGCAGCGCTACTTTTCTAGCCCTCCCACTCTCCTGTCTGGAGGGTGCACTTTTGTTTAGCTTTGCTTTACTTTATATTAATAAACTTGCTCCTGCTTAAGTCTCCTTTGTGTCCATCCTTGAATTCTTTCCCCAACAAGACCAGGAACTTTTCTGATCCCTGGACCTGGTGATCCACTCCAGTAACAGAAGAACCCCCACGTATTAGTCCTTTACCAACTTGAATATATAATTTTTAAATAATATAGATATCAAATATCTATTTAAAACAATGTATCAGTTTAGTTACAGATACAATATTTAAAATATTTAAAATTGTAAAACAATACACTAATTTAGAAATAATTTTTTTATTAAAAATATTTTATAAATCAAAGTTTTCTCTGTTTCACAGAGAAATGTGAATGTTTTCAAATGCCTTACTCTCCTCTCTAACACTGATGTCTTCTCAACAGAAAAGATGGTTTTTGAGTCTCTCAGCATCTTCATCCTGTCCAAGTTGTTTGGGACACAGCACTTTTTGAGTCCATATATGATGCTGCCATTAAAAATTTTATCCCAGGCCACCATAATGTAAGGATAGTTAGTTTTAATATATCCTAAAGCGTAAGTTCATAATCTCTACAACTTAACCCCTTCTTATTTTACTCTTTTAAGTGATCTTTAAAAGGAGATACAAGGGCTACAGGAGTGGCTCAAGCAGTAGAACACCTGCCTAGCAAGTGTGAGACCCTGAATTCAAACCCAAAGAATAGAAAAAGAAAAAAGAAATAAAAGGAGATACATAGTGTTACCCAACTCTTATAATCATGAAGTCTCACTAATTACAATCTGAATTGAAACCTGCATTTTGGTCAGTTAATTTTTATAAGTGTCCAAAACTACCATGATTGAGGTCATTTCTGGCTAACATATCTTCCCCAAATGGTACCTTGTTCAAAATAGTTGACAGAGCTCCATGTAATTTCCTCTCTCCCTAGGAAAACTACTTTGGGAAGAAGATGAATATGGATGATGTACTCTTTCTATACAAGAATGAATACAGAATTTTAAAACCTGTTGAAATCACCGTAAGAAAAGGACTAAGGTGGAAAGGAGAAAATGGAGGGGATGAACCAATTTGGGTTATAATACATATACACATGGAAATGTCACAATGAAACTCCCTGTATAGCTATCTTAAACAAACAAAAGTGTGTTTTTTCAAAAAGGGAGAACAAGAAGGTAAAATAGGTCCTGTCTGGGAGTTGGCACCAGTGGGAGTGGGGAGGATATAAGGAAAGGGTATAGGAGGGTGAATATGGTAGAAATATTATGTGTTCATGTATGAAAATGGAAAAATGAGACCTCAATCGTGGTAATTTTGGACACTTATAGAAATTAACTGACCAAAGTGCAGGTTTCAATTCAAACTGTAATTAGTGAGACTTCATGATTGTAAGAGTTGGGTAACACTGTGTATCTCCTTTTAAATATCATTTAAAAGAGTAAAATAAGAAGGGGTTAAGTTGTAGAGATTATGAACTTACACTTTAGGATATATTAAAACTAACTATCCTTACATTATGGTGGCCTGGGATAAAATTTTTAATGGCAGCATCATATATGGACTCAAAAAGTGCTGTGTCCTAAACAACTTGGACAGGATGAAGATGCTGAGAGACTCAAAAACCATCTTTTCTGTTGAGAAGACATCACTGTTAGAGAGGAGAGTAAGGCATTTGAAAACATTGTTCTATGAAACAAAGAGAAAACTTTGATTTATAAAATATTTTTAATAAAAAAATTATTTCTAAATTAGTGTATTTTTTACAATTTTAAATGCTTTAAATATTGTATCTGTGACTAAACTGACAATACTCTTAGAATAACTCTCAAAAAAAATGGGTGGGTGGTCTACCTGCTCAACCACTAATTTTTACACACAAGTATTTTGTGAAAATTTCAGCTTCAATCCACTCACTCTGAATACTTAGGGCACTCCATATAGTGTGTTGGTTAAATTCACACTAATTACTTCATTTGACCCTTAAAACATTTGACAATTTCATACCCATTTGATGGATGATATAACTGAGGCCAGGGTAATAATAAGTATAGCTAATAAATATTGAGCATTTATTCCAAGACAGGCACTGTAGTAAGCACTTCATGTGTTCTAATTAGTTGAGTTTTCCCAACAACCCTATTCCTTATTTACAGATGAGGAAACTGAAGCACAGAGTCTGTCACTTTTCAAAATCCTTATGGGTATGAGAGCTGGGACTGGAACCCAGATTCTTCAGGTGTCAAGAGCAGTGCACTTTGGGCTATACTCCCACTTTCTCTCATCACTGTCAAAGTCACTGTCATAGTCATTACCACCAACAGCCAAAGCTTCTGGAATTCAGCCTGGCCCTGCCTCTGAGCCTCCTTCAAGCAGTGGAGGTTGTCTGTCTGCTGAGCCACATGGCAGAGTTCAAGGATGACCTCATGAGCTATGGCTCCAAGTAGCCACTGGTCCTTTGGAAGGGCCTCCCTGGCACTGTTTCCTAGGCAACAGTAACAACCATGCTCCATTCTTTCCTTGGACATCAGCCTCCTTCTTCTCTGATCCTCCTGAGTCACCACTACCGTGCATATCAAACAGAGGAGTCCTCCTTAGCTTCCCTGGAGGGCAGGGAATCCCAAGAAAGGACTGTGTGCTACAGATCAGAAGAGCCCTGAGTCCCAAGGAAGCCCCAAAGACAACTTGGCTGCTCTCCCGCCCCACTGGCTCCCCACTGATTTTAGCATCTCCCTTGACACTGCCCACCCAGTCTGCTTTTCCTTTTACATAAGCTATTTCTCCCTTTCTCCTTCCCCACCCCGTGCCTTCTCTTAGGTACTAGCAAGAACTGCTTCTAGGCAAACTGGAATGTTTCCCAGACCCTCCAATGGCTCTCTTATTCTTTTCCTATCTTTAAGGAGCAACATCTCTCCTTTTCTTTAAATCTCGGGCCTCATTTTAGCTGTCTTTTGCTAACAAAGACCTATGGTGTCCGCTGATAGGAGCCTAGGGCCGGACAACTGTTCAAGGCTGTTTCAGATTTGCACTCTGCTATGACATCTCCAGCGATGAGATCAGGCCTGGGTGGCTCCGCTTTGCCTGGGTCTGGTCTGGCAATCTGGGGTCTGATACTGAATTCTATCAGCTGGAATAAAAGTGTGGACAGACAGGGAAATGTGGAAGGTGAAGAGGCAGCAGCAGCTACTTCTCCACAGAAGTTTCAAAAGGACCAAGCTTTGGGGGAGATGGGGCACAAACCCACTTGGAATCTTGCCAGGGCTTTGTGAAGCTGTTGGTTTGAAAGCCAGCAGGGAGAACTGTGTGGGGCAAGTGACTTCCACTGGAAAACTCCAGTTTTTACCTGTGAACTCTGTCTGCCTCCCTTGTAGCCACTGAGGAGTTTTCTTCCTTAATTAGGGAGGGAGTGAATTCACTGTGCATACTGACTCTTTGCTTTTTCTGGAAGGACAGATGGTGGAGCTCACTATCTAACCTTAGGACACTCTGGAACAGCTCTCAGGACTTTACCTGTCCCATCTCATTTAATCTTCACAGCCCTGTGTGAATTATTGTCCCTGTTTGATGAGGAAACTGAGACCCGGAGTAGCTGAGTGCTCCAGGGATTCCTGTCACCTTGGCAGCTGGCGTGTGTGCCAGGCAGGGGGTCTCTGTTCTTAACCACGGCCCTTGCCTGGCCCATTCCTTAAAGGTGATGGGAGACGCACTTGGTGCAGACTCTCTGTGGCATGGCCACAATTGTCATTGTGATTTATGACAATATGGAACTTAGAATCGGGTTTGTTCAGGATGGTGGGAGTGTGTCCCTAAGGAGAACACCTCCCTGTGCACCCAGTTCTGGAGATCCTGCCGGGGACAGTCCTCATTTTTCTGTCCTCTCCCCAGACTGCTCTCCAGGTTTCTAGCAACCACCACAAAATACCTGCATTCTCTCCCTCTGCCACAATACAGGACGCTAGCTGCCACAGAAAACGAGAAGAAAATCCAGGTAACACGGGGATCGAAATACCAGCCTACAGGGAGGTGGGGGCGGGGGGCACAAAATCATTTTCTGCCAGTTGGATAGGAATCTCACTGGATACCCGCGCAACAAGTCCCCCACTCCCCAGGTCGGTGTAGACCTGGTCTCGGGTCCCCGCTGCGGGGCACAGCGCCCCCACCCGGCACTCGGGGGCCGCCGCCGCGCCGTGCGTCCCGCGCAGGCAGCGCGCCCAGCCCGCCCGGCCCGGTGTGGCCGGACTGCTCCCGGCCGCGGTGCCGAGTGGGCGCCACCTCCCTCTCTCGGGTCCCCAGAGGGGTCGGCAGCGGAGGCCCCCCCAGGGCGCTCGGGGTGGGAGGAGGAGCCGCGGGCTTCCGGCGCCGGCCTGGGGACAGCGCCCGCGTGCGTGGGTGCGCCCAGGCTCGGGCTGTCTGTCGGTCAGTGGGTCGGTCGGTCTGCGCCTGGCACCCTGGCTGTGCGGAGCCCCGCGGAAAGCGCGCCGCGCTCACCTGCAGCCACCGGCGCTGGCGCCCGGGAAGCGGGTGTCCCTCAGTGACCGCCTCGCCGGGCCGCGGGCCGCCGCTGTCCTTGGGGACCGCTCGTGGGAAGCGAGGTTCTAGAGAGCCAGAGCCGCTGCCTTCGTCGCCTGCGCCGTTGCCGCCGCCTCCGAGTCCCATCCCAGAGCGCTCCCCTGCTCGCTGGCGGCCGCGAGGCTCGGGGCAGGGCGGGCGCGGGAGGCGGCGCCGCGCGAGGGTGGGGAGCGGGCCGGGCGGAAGGAGGGGTGTCCTCTTTGAGGATGGGGAGGTGCGGAGAGGCCGCGGCGGCGAGCGCGGCCCCACCCTGCAGGCAGCCCCCGAAGCGGGGCCCCTTGGCCACCCCGCCTGCTGCCACCCCCCGCCGCTCTGTCGGTCCCCAGCCTGGGCGAAGGTCGCACTCCAGGGCTCAGAACCCAGAGCTTAGGGGCGGGAGGACAGGGGGGAGACTCGTCCTGTAACCTGAACTTGGGGATCATTTTCTGCAGAAGGCACCCATCGACGATAATAAGAAAAAAGTGGTGGGAATTGGGATACTTGGTGACAAGTGCCAAGAGCTATCTTGATAGTGCCCCCCAGGTTGCTCCACTAGCGCCAATTCATAGCCACTGGCGGGTTACCAGGTCCTGGGGTAAGAAGAGGGATTGGGTTGCCAGAATGGAGAGGAGACAAGGTTCCTACCCTGAAGGAGTAATGAAAGTCTAGCTCCTACAAGACTTGGGAAATTGTGGGTAAGATATTTGCTACTTTGTCCAGTGGGGAAACCTTACCTTAGGGGTCCCTACAGCCTTGGAGGGACGTACAAGGCAGGACTGATAAGTGGCAGGGAAAGGGTCTTACTTCCCCACTCTAGCTTAGCTGGAGTGATTGGGCCGTACAACAGGCCAGGACATCTCCCAATAAAACTCCAAAATTCTAACTCCAAACCACTAACCCTGCACATCCAGTTCAGGTTTTAACAAGCCATGGGAAGAGGCAAAACCAAGTACTTTCAAATCCTCCGGACGTGCCAGAGTCTGATAATTTAAGTGCTTTTGGCTGCCTGTGTTTTGTAACTAGTCACCACTCCTACTTGACGATAGACTTGGCTTCTGGCGCATGAATAAATGCCATATACAAAATCAGTTCTTCAGAAAAGCTCCAGGAATGACTAATTAAAATCCCAGCCCTAAAGCAAGGAGTTAACACATCATGGCCATCAGTAGCCCCATAATGCCGAAAGAATCTGGTACTTGAGGGTCCCTGGTCCTTTACCCTGCTCCTTAGGCCCACAGGGCACCATTGGCTGCCTGTACTGATCAGAAATTACTTCTTTGTATGTCTTTGGGAGAAGAAAGGTGGAGGTCAGAAAGCAGAGGAAAGTCTTCAGGAAATGTTTGGTCTCTGCAGTCTTGGATCCCATAGAAGAAAATTCTTTGTGAGTCTGGGCCAGTGAAAATCCCTGAGGAGCCAGGGAAGTTGAGTTACAGTTTATGGAAACTTATATTTAAAGCATGTAGCTCCATTCCAAGACACCAGTAGGCTCCAGTAATTTACCAGGAAAACAATAGCAATCTGGAAATCCTTCCAGTTTTGAAGGAAACTGTGATTTAATAACTGATTCCAGTGATTCTGGTGTATGCCAACTAAAATGGGTGGTTTTCCCCAGGGAGTTCTATTAGAATTCTTCAGAATAAGAAATCTCTGTAAGGAGCAAGCCTGGGGCCAAGTCAAATAGGTCAAAAGAGTTGTTCTACCTTGTGGGTAGGTCTGCCAAAAAACACCCCAGTGAAGCTAAAGCAATTTCAATGTCCTGAAAAATGAAGTCAGAACAATTATTTAACTTCTGGGTTAACTTGCATGTGTGTGGGGTGAATTGATTGATAATAAGGGCTATTGAGAAGAGGTCAAGTTTGCCTTTTCTGTCAGAGGCCCTGCTAAGTGGTGGACAGACAGAGAATCTTATTCCAAAGGGTTGGGGGAAGGGTTGGGGTAAGAGCTTCAGTTCTCAGGTAGACACTTATGCAAGTAAACAAAAATGAAGGTGCGTAGTAACTCATTGGTTACTTAGAACTGACAACTGTTTAAATAATCCCACCTTAGTTGTGAGGCTGCAGATCAACTCTCAGTTCCCTGCCTCAACTTAGGGTTTATTGTAGACTACGGATTTGGGAGCAAGGGTCATTTGACCCAGGCCTCACATTCATGAAGAGTCTCAGATGTGGACTTTAAATTTTTTATTTTTGAGTTAGCATACATTAATACTACCATTATTAATTTCTACATTATGTAGAAATATTTCTATGCTAGACTTTTGATATAAGCATTTATTTGTCCCTTGTAAACATTAGAACTGTTTTACACTAGAATTCTTCTTGATACCTACCTATCTGGCTTAGATGACTGACTGAAATGAAGAGTCTAGGAGTAAGAAGGAGACCAAAGGACAACGGAACTGACTGATAGCCTAAAATAGATTTTGCACTGAATGGGTGAGCAGAAATGTAAAATGGCAATGTTACTCACTTGCACTGTCTCCAGGCGACAGGTGATATTGGAGTCCCCTATAAACTGTTAGTGCTCCTCTCCCTCTCCCTCAAATAGGAGGACAGGATGTCTCTTCTGAGAAAGGAAGTGTTGGCCTGTATCTGCTGGAGCTGTGGATGTGCAGCATGGGAGGGGAGCATTGCAAGGTTAATGGCAGAATCAGCTGAATTTCCACTGCTGTCCAGGGCAGGGAGCCCTTCCAGAAGGGCAATGCTCTCTTCTGGCTACCCCAAGGTCAATGTCTAGAGGGTCCCTGGAAAACAGGCTGGCTGACACCAAAGGCACCATTGGTCCATGTGAGATGATTTTAAATAGCATATGATCTTACCTTGGAAAGACAGGATGATTGGTATCAGGAAGAAACTGTAGCAGGTTGAAAAAAAAATCATTCAGGAAAATCCTTTTTGTCCCATTTTCTTCTTTTCTTTTTTGGCAGTACTGGGGTTTGAACTCAGGGTCTCATGCTTGCTGGCAGGCACTCTACCATCAGTCACACCCTCAGCCCTTTTTCTGCTTTAGTTATTTTTCAGTTAGGGTCTTGCATTTTGCCCTAGTCCCGCCTTGGGCAACAATCCTAACTGTAGCCTCCCACATAGCTGAGATCACTGGCACAGGCCACCACACCTGACTTGTTGACATAATAGTCTCCCTAACTTTTTGCCCAGGCTGGTCTGGATTCATGATCCTTTGGATCTCTACCTCCTGAGTAGTTGGGATAATAGGGCATGAGCCACTGTGCCTGGCCAACAAAATGCGTTTCAAAGAAGGCTCAAATGTTTTTAGGTGATCTTGAACTTAACCATGAGATCCAGAGGGCAGAGACCAGGACTTTTGCTTTTTTATGGGTCTTGCTTTATGCCACGCTTAGAAGGGATTGTGCTTGCTATGGCTTTCATTTTAAATTCAAAGCCTTACCATGTTTATGGAATCAGTTGATGAAGCTATCTATCAACAATAAAACAATAGGGCAGGGCCTTCTAGCATAGGCAAGAGTGAATGGAAAGATTTGGTTTTTTTGGATATTGTCAAGGCTGAATAGACCTGGCATGTGTGGAAGTGTCCTCAACAGCTCAGATAGATGCTCCTTTCATCCCTAAACCTAGGAACTGGCACAACATGGTCTGTGACTAGAAGCCAATAGTCTTATTCCTGTGACACTCAATTAATGACCTCTCAAAAACGTTACTGAGTCTATGTCTACATTGGTTGCCTAGTGTTAAATCAGGTTGCAAGATAAGTAGGCAATGACTGTGTGCATCTGTCCTATAAGATCCCCCAGCACGCTGGCAGAGCTCAATAGGCAGGGACTCAAGAATAACAAAAGTATCAGAAGTTAAGACTTTCCACATTCTCTTTACCAAAGAAAATAACTGGGACATGGTTATTACCAAAGTCCAGCAGAAGGGGAAACACTACAAATGGCTAGTGGAAATAATAATGTGATGGACCACTGAGAGTCACACACCAATCACAAGATGGAGAAAAATAGGATGGAGTGCAATAAAGAGAACAATTTCACAGGTAGGGAAGTTTGAGAAGGAGCAATAGAAATGCCTTGACTCATTTAAAATCAAGAATTGTCGGGCTGGCAGGATGGCTCAAGTGGCAGAGGGCCTGCCTGGCAAACTTGAGGCCCAGAGTTCAAATCAAATCCCAGTATCACCAAAAAAAAAAAAAAAAAAAAATTGTCAAAGCAATTCCCAAGCATGGAAAGTGCCAGAAAGTCACTAGCAACATGTACACTATCTGTGAATAATATGCGTCAAAAAATGTTGAGAAGAGAATGTAATTACCAAAGTTTTGAAAAGTTAAAAGTTTCTAAGAGAGCTCAGCTTCCCTGACCAGGCCTAAGGAGAGGTTACTAGTAATACTGCTTCACCCTGAAACCCAGCCTACAATGAAGCAGATAATATGTCAGGATAACGTTTAAAAATAAATTGATGGGATATATTATAGCAGTAGACTAAAGACAAAACCCACAGAGGTGCAGAAAACAGACAAAATTCAAAATCCCTTCAAGACAAAAACACCTCACAAACAAGAAATTGAAAGCTACTTCCTCAAGCTAATAAGGAAAAAAACCAACATTACACTTGATGGAAGGCTGAAACTTTGCATGTAGGATCAAGAGCAAAATACTTTCTCACTTCTACTCAGCATTGTACTAGAAGATCTAACCAAGGCAAGAAAATGAAAGACATCCAGAGAGAAAAGAAAAAAGTAGAACTATATTTGCAGATGATATAATCTGACATGCAGAAATTCTAAGGCACACACTAAAAATCTAGTAGAACTAAGGCAAGGTTTCAGGATATGAGATCAGTATTTTAAAAATCACCAGTATTTCTATATACTTGTAACAATCTGAAAACGAAACGAAAACAATTCCATTTACAACAGCATCAAAAAAACTAAATCACTTAGAACAAAAAATGTGCAAATCCTTATGGTTGCCCCCCTGTATCCATGAGGGATTGAGGATATCAAATGCTTGGGTACAAAGTTCATTATTTGCATAAAACCTATGAGCCTCCTCCTCTATACTTTATAGATTCTTTATAATACTTAATAAAATGCAAATGCTATATAGTGTTATACTCACTGCCTAGGAAAAAAATGACAAATGAAAGTCTTTACATGTTAATTACAGAT